CCCCAAAACCCCAAAACCCCAATAAAGATTCCATTTATATAAGTAAAGGAAAATATTGATAAAATAAAATATTATGATAATCTAGGGAGTTCTTTATTTCTGTCTTGCTTACTTTTTGTGGGAAAAAATAATCAAAATGTACTACAAGTATTGGTTCTACACAAGCTAGGGCATTAAATCAACTGGATTTCCAATACCAATCATTGGGAAAATGTTTGCACTTTAAAATGAAATCAACTAGATGACTGAATTTTCTGAACAACCGATCTATGAATACTACAGAAAGATATTTTAAGGGGAAAAGATCCCCAATTTCTTTATTGACTTTAGATTGGCTGAAGGAACTCTTGTTGTAAGTGATCCTGATATTCTTTAAGAACTTTTTGTTACAAAGGCAAAATAAGTGGATAAGCATTATAGACTCAAAACTCTCTTTTATGATTTGACAGGTGAATCAATACTATTCGATAAGACTACTGAATCTCAGGGAAACAAACGTAAAAGATTATCAGTAGCGTTTTATAAGGATAAAATGACTTAGAACTTAATCATAATCATTAAAAAGACCTTTGCATGGGTTTAAGCTATTAAGAAAGATATTAAAGAAGGAAATAATGAAAGAGAATTGAGCAAAATGATAAATGATCATATAATGGATTGCATTTTGGCTAGCGTTTTTGGTGAAACAGATATTAAGCAGACAGTCTAATTTTAGGTAGGTGATAAAACTTCAGAGATTTCAATCGGTGTTTGTGTAGGAAAACTATTCCTTTAATTAGCTAGAAAAATGTAAAAACCTCATAGAATATTTACAAAGATATTTGACACTGTTTATATAGGCAAAGAAGAAAAGATACTTCAGAAAAATTTACAAACCTACCGAAATTTCCTCTAGTCACTTATAGATAAAAGAAGATAACAGATCAAAGATTCCAATTACTCAAGTACAGATTTCTTATCTTTGCTTTTGTCAGATGATTTATTTTGCAATGATAACAATCTCATAAAAGATGAGATTAGCACTTTTATGCTTGCTTCTACTTAGACAACAGCCACATTAATTACGAATCTATTGTACTATTATGAATACGTCCCAGGAATCAAATAAAAATTAAGAGATGAAATATGTTCAATAATGAGACCAGATAACGCGGGAATTCAAAATCCTACTATTGATTAACTTTGTCTTACTCCTGATAATTGGATAGATAAACTTGGCTATGATCAACTTTAAGACAGCTGGAAATATCTTTACTTATTGATTTAGGAGAGCATGAGAATTGAACCACCAGTAAGAGCATCATCTTTACTCTAAGTTAATCAATAAACTAATATTGCTGGGTATGAGATTAAACCAGATATTCCAATATCAGTTCATTTCTTGTTACTTCATACCAATCAAGATGAATGGTAGGAGCCTGATAAATTTATTCCAGAGAGATTTGACCCAGAAAGTCCTTACTTCCTGAATCGAAGTGGTAAGAAAAGAAAGCCCTAGAGCTTTAGTCCTTTTCTTGGAGGAAGAAGAATATGCTTGGGAAAAACTTTTGCAGAAAATATTGCAAAGATTATAGTTCCACTCATAGTTTCAGAAATTGAATTCAAATTTAAAAGGCCTATTCACTATGAAAGAAAACCTAAGAAAGGACTCTCTACTGAAATTAATGTGCCTATCATTCTCTCAAATTTAAAATTTGAATGAAAAGTTACTATTTTTAATTATCTTGATTTCATAAATTACACTTTTTTACTGCCTGGGGTTTTGGGGTTTTGGGGTTTTGGGG